CAGGGGTGACATGTGCCACGAAGGGACCCCTGTTGGCCCAAGCCAGCGGGTCTGCTCGAGCCATTATTCCCACAGCAGGGCGTGGAACAGTCCCAGGGCTCTCCTTTCCCGTGGAGCAGCCTGGATGTGAGCCGGGAATCAGGAGAGTGCCACGGGGACCTTGCTGCCCCCCGGGTGCCACTCGGACCCCCCGAAGGAGCCCCATTCTCCATTTTATTCCTTTTTCAGGGATTTCTCCAAGCAGGGTCCATCCCATCCCAGGGAGGGCAGGACCAGCAGGGTCCAGTGGCCACGGGCCACCACGTGCCCCCCGGGGGAGGTGCCGTGCCAGCGGGGCGGGCGCTGCCAGGGCTGTTAATGATTTGCAGGATGACGTGGGGACCACAGGGACTAAAGGGCTTTTCCAAGGGTCACCGTGGAGGCAGGGCCACCCTCTGCCGGCCTCACCCAGCCCCGCCACCGGCAAGATGGTGTCTCTGACCGACCTCCAGCGTAAGTGGGCACGGGGTGACCCGTGGGTGATGCCCACCCCTGTGGGACTGGGGCAGCCCCACGCCAGGGCTGGAAGCTGCTGGCTGGGGTGGCTGGGGCAGGGAGGGGTGTAATGGCAAGGGGGATGTGGGGACCAGCACTGGGGAGGTGCCTGGATCATCTGGAGATCAGCTCCATCCTCCGCTGGCACTGCCTGCGCTGGCACCTTCGTGCCACTGCTCAGGACAAGGCTGGAGATGGTTCTTCCCATTTATTTTTCCTATTCTTTTTTCACAAGCCCTCAGGGGTTTCTAGGGCAACAACAGCCCCAAGGCCTGGGCAGGTGCAAAGGCTGTTCCTAAGCTTTGGAGACAAACCCAAAGTGTCTTTCTGGGAGGGAATGGGACAGGGAGGCGCTGAAAGGAGGGACCACAACCTGACACGGGACCTGAGGTGTGGAACTGAGCCCTTGTCTCAGCCCTCCCGTCTTCCACAGGGATTGGAGTGGGGCTGGTTGGCTTCGGCCTCTTCTTCCTCCTTTTTGGGATGCTCCTGTACTTTGACTCCGTGCTCCTGGCCTTTGGGAACGTGAGTACTGTGGGGCCGGGGCACAGCCGGCACCGATGCCCAGGACGGAGCAAAGAGCTCCTCTGACCCGCTCCCCTCCCTCCTTCCTCCCAGATCCTCTTCCTCTCTGGCTTGGTCTTCATCATCGGCTTCAGGAGGACCTTCACCTTCTTCTTCCAGCGGCCCAAGCTGAAGGGCACCAGCTTCTTTTTCGGGGGGCTGATCGTCGTCCTCATGCGGTGGCCGATCCTGGGGATGCTGCTGGAGGCCTACGGCTTCATCACCCTCTTCAGGTGGGTCCCAGGGCACCCAGTCCCCCCCCTGGGGGAGAGCAGAGCCGGGGGATCCTCCTCGGAGCCCAACCCAGACTTTTGTGTTGGCACAGGAGCTTTTTCCCGGTGGCTTTGGGGTTCCTGGGCTCGCTGGCAAACATCCCCCTGCTGAGCCAGGTGAGCAGGGCTGACGTGCCCCCGGGCTCTGCAGCCCTTGGGTGGGATCAGCCCCCGTCGCTGCAGTTGGGATCAGACAGGGGAGGTCACTGCAGTCACCCCACAGCCCCCTGAGGCTGCAGGGGTGAATTTTCCTGCTCATCCGGGTCTGTCCCTGTTGCAGCTCCTGCAGAAGGTGGGAGACAGCGGCTCCATGGTGTGACCTGACCTGGGACGGGCCGAGTGGCTGAGGTGGGATGGTGGCAGTGAGCCCCGGGTCCTGCTGGCCCTGGGGTTGTCTCTCTTGGCCCAGGGACCCTCAATGCTGTCAGGAGTGACCCCACAATGGGGACGGGGCCCCCCTGTCCCGTGGAGCTCCCGGGAGCAGCTCCAGGGCCCCAGGGCTGTGCCAGGCAGGATTCTGGAACTATTGCACTTATTTAATTCTTTTTGTCTTCCCCTAGTGAAAGATTTAATAAAAAATGTGTCTGAGACCGAGCTCAGGCTGGGCTCCTTTCCTGAGCCTCCAGCTCTGGCATCTCTTGGTGTCACCAGAGAGGCATCACGGCCACGGCTGGGGGTGGCACGGGGACCTTCCCATGGGTGTGTCTGAAGGTGGCACAGGGGTCTTCCCATGGATGTGGCTGGGGATGGCACAGGGACTTTCCCACGCATGGAGGTGGCACAGGGATCTTCTCATGGCCACGACTGGGGGTGGCACAGGGACCCTCTGGTGGCCGTGGCCCCCCTGCCCTGGCCACCAGCCCCAGGCAGCTGGGGCAGGCCTGGCACGCAGGCAGGGGCCGTGGCACTGCCTTCCCACGCATCCCATGGGGATGAGGCTGCCCGGGAGCCACGGGAGAGGGCAGGGGGGGGTTAGGAAAACACCCATTAAACCACATTAACATTTCCTGACCTGATCGGAGCAGAGTAAATGACCCCAGTCGGACTCAGCCACCATGAAACGGCAAATGACATCCGGGGTCGTTAATTAATGAGGGATGCTGGGCTGGGAGGGGGCCTGGAGCAAACCCTCAGTGTTCCAGAGCCAGGACTCACATTTC